CCCTATTTAAAGGTTCCCGGGGGTCGAGTCCGAGCTCCGGGCCCCCCCTCTTCACGATCGAAACGGGGGTTTCACCTCCCGGGAGCCGTGAGTTTTTAAATCATACTTGGCTTTAAAACTATGTAAGGATCCGCCCCCAATACACCCTTCCAAATACTATTCCACTTACTGACTACTCTGTGGCTGAAGAAATACTTTTTCCCAACATACCCGGGGATTCATCTGTGTCCCTTTAGCTTCCAAAAAGTGTCCCCCTTTTTTCTGTGTCCAATCTCGGAAAAATTTCCCTTTTTTGTCCACCTTTTCAATTCCTTCAGTATTTTGTATGTCGTTACATGTCCCCCCCATTCTCCTTTTTCCCCCTGTGTGAGGTTGATTTCCCTTTAACCCTCCTCGTTGGACAAAACCTCTTAGCTTGGGACTAGTCTTGTTTTCAAACCTTTTTCACTTTCTTAGTTTTTTTTACGTGCTTGGCCCAGGTGGGGGGTTTCCAAAGGGCCGCCCTACTCCAAAAATGGGCCTAAAAGTACACCCGGGGTAAAAAGGGTCCCCGAAAGATTCCTTATTTTAAAATGTTTGGAATGCTGTTCTGGGTTTGCTAGGCCCCATATGCGCAGCAGTTATTTTTGGGTTTATGTGCGCTTAGGGGATTTGCCCCGGTTTATACCCCCCACCCAAGATCTTTTTTCCTTGGTGAGGTTTGTTGTCTCTGGCCCCCTAGACTTATCCGTTTTGCGGTTTTTTCTTTTCCCTTCCCCAATCTTTATGACTTTGCACTTGGGGGGATTTAACTCCAGGAGCCAATTTCTGGACCAGGTCTGCAGCCTGTCCAGATCCCTTTGTAGTTCTGCCTGGTCTTCGATCGAGTGAATTCTTCTCATCAACTTCACGTCATCTGCAAACAGGGACACCTCAGAGTCTATTCCTTCCGTCATGTCGTTCACAAATACCAGAAACAGCACTGGTCCTAGGACTGACCTCTGTGGGATCCCGCTGGTCATCAGGTGCCCACTCTGACACCTCGCCACGTACCATGACTCGCTGCTGTCTTCCTGACAAGTATTCCCTGATCCATTGTAGTGCCTTCCCTGTTATCCCTGCTTGGTCCTCCAGTTTTTTGCACCAATCTCTTGTGTGGAACTGTGTCAAACGCCTTCTTGCAGTCCAAGAAAATGCAATCCACCCACCCCTCTCTCTCTTGTCTTACTGCTGTCACCATGTCATAGAACTCCAGTAGGTTTTGTGACAACAGGATTTCCCGTCCCTGAACCATGTTGGCTGCTGTTGATGAGATCGTTCCTTTCTAGGTGTTCCACCACTCTTCTCCTGATAATCTTCTCCATGATTTTGCATACTATACATGTCAGTGACACTGGTCTGTAGTTAATGCTTCATGTCTGTCTCCTTTTTTAAAGATTGGGACTACATTTGCTGTCTTCCATGCCTCAGGCAATCTCCCTGTTTCGATAGATGTATTGAATATTGTTGTTAGGGGTACACATAGCACCTCTGCTCCCTCTCTCAATACCCATGGGGAGATGTTATCTGGCCCCATTGCCTTTGAGGTATCTAGCTCACTCAGAAGCCTCTTCACTTCTTCCTCGGTTGTGTGCACTGTGTCCAGCACATGGTGGTGTGCCCCACCTCTCCGTCTTTCTGGAGCCCCTTCTGTCTCCTCTGTGAACACTTCTTTGAATCTCTTGTTGAGTTCCTCACATACTTCACGGTCATTTCTTGTTGTCTCTCTCCTTCCTTCCTTAGCCTGATTACCTGGTCCTTGACTGTTGTTTTCCTCCTGATGTGGATGTACAACAGTTTCGGGTCAGATTTGGCTTTTGCTGCTATGTCGTTTTCATATTGTCTTTGGGCCTCCCTTCTTATCTGTGCATATTCGTTTCTGGCTCTACGACTGCTCTCCTTATTCTCCTGGGTCCTTTGCCTTCTATATTTCTTCCATTCCCTAGCACATTTGGTTTTTGCCTCCCTGCACCTTTGGGTAAACCATGGGCTCATCCTGGCTTTCTCATTATTCCTGTTACCCTTGGGTACAAACCTCTCCTCAGCCTCCTTGCATTTTGTTGCTACATATTCCATCATCTCATTAACTGGCTTCCCTGCCAGTTCTGTGTGTGTGTGTGTGTGTGTACTCACCTACTCACCTAATTGTGGTTGCAGGGGTCGAGACTCAGCTCCTGGCCCCGCTTCTTCACTGATCGCTACTGGATCCTCTCTCTCTCTGCTTCCTGAGCTTTGTCATACCTCTTCTTAAAACTATGTATGGTTCCTGCCTCCACTACTTCACTTGCTAGGCTATTCCACTTGCTGACAACTCTATGACTGAAGAAATACTTCCTAACGTCCCTGTGACTCGTCTGAGTCTTCAGCTTCCTGTTGTGACCCCTTGTCCCTGTGTCCCCTCTCTGGAACATCCTATCTCTGTCCACCTTGTCTATTCCCCGCAGTATCTTGTATGTCGTTATCATGTCTCCCCTGACCTTTCTGTCCTCTAGTGTCGTCAGTCCGATTTCCCTTAACCATTCCTCGTACGACATTCCCTTGAGCTCTGGGACTACCCTTGTTGCAAACCTTTGTACTTTCTCTAACTTCTTGACGTGCTTGACCAGGTGTGGGTTCCAGACTGGTGCTGCATACTCCAGTATGGGCCTAACATACACAGTGTACAGTGTCTTGAACGATTCCTTATTAAGGTATCGGAACGCTATTCTCAGGTTTGCCAGGCGCCCGTATGCTGCAGCGGTTATTTGGTTGATGTGTGCCTCCGGTGATGTGCTCGGTGTTATGGTCACCCCAAGGTCTTTCTCCCTGAGTGAGGTCTGTAGTCTTTGTCCACCTAGCCTATACTCTGTCTGCAGTCTTCTTTGCCCCTCCCCAATCTTCATGACTTTGCATTTGGCTGGATTGAATTCGAGAAGCCAGTTACTGGACCACATGTCCAGCCTGTCCAGGTCTCTTTGCAGTCCTGCCTCATCCTCGTCCGATTTAATTCTTCTCATCAACTTCACGTCATCTGCGAACAGGGACACTTCAGAGTCTATTCCTTCCATCATGTCGTTCACATATATCAAAAATAGCACTGGTCCTAGAACTGACCCCTGTGGGACCCCGCTCGTAACAGGCGCCCACTGTGATACCTCTTCACGTACCATGACTCGTTGCTGCCTCCCTGTCAGGTATTCCCTTATCCATTGCAGTGCCCTCCCTTTTACGTGCGCCTGATCCTCCAGCTTCTGCACTAATCTCTTGTGGGGAACTGTGTCAAAGGCCTTCCTGCAGTCTAGGAAAACGCAATCTACCCACCCCTCTCTCTCGTGTCTTACTTCTGTTACCTTGTCATAAAACTCCAGGAGGTTTGTGATACAAGATTTGCCTTCCATGAACCCATACTGTGTGTGTGTGTGTGTATGTGTGTGTGTGTGTTTGTGTGTGTGTGTGTGTGTGTGTATGTGTGTGTGTGTGTGTGTGTGTGTGTACAGTTAAAATCTGCAAGTGCTTTTAACGTGTGCTCTGAGGACAGATTCTTATGAGTTGTAACGTGCTTCCTCCCTAGGTTGCTCGAAGTAGCCATTGTGTGAAAATACTATGGGAAATTATTAATTTATTTATTAACACATCGGCCATTTTCCACCAAGGCAGGGTGTCCCGAAAAAGAAAAACTTTCATCGTCATTCACTTCATTACTGTCATGCCAGAGGCACTCTCACACTATAGTTTAAAACTGCAACATTAACACCCCTCCTTCAGAGTGCCGGCACTGTACTTTCCATCTCCAGGACTCAAGTCCAGCCTGCCGGTTTCCTTGACTCCCTTCATAAATGTTACCTTGTTCACGCTCCAATGGCACGTCAAGTCCTCAAAACTATTTATCTCCATTCACTCCTACCATGCTCACGCATGCTCCAACCTCCAACCTTTCCTAGGCCAACCCTTACCACGTCTTCCCTACACTACAGATTTATACACTCTTGAAGTCATTCTATTTCGTTTTCTCTCTACAAGTCCAAACCACCTCAATAACCCCTGGTCAGCTGCCTGGATAATAGTTTTATTAATCTTGCACCTACTTCTAATTTCCAAACTATGGATTCTCTGCATTATATTCAACCCATACATTGCCCTCAAATATGACATCTCTACTGCCTCCAGCCTTCACCTTGTTGCAACATTCACTACCCATGCTTCCATGGATGAAGTTCTTTGTCTCTGTAGACTCCTCAGTGAACCACTCACCTTTTTCCTCTCGTTAATTCTACCATTCACCTCATCTTTCATAGACCCATCTGCTGACACGTCTACTCCCTGATATCTGAATACATTCACCTCCTCCATACTCTCTCCCTCCAATCTAATATCCAATCTTTCAATATCTTAACTTTTTGTTATCCTCATCACCTTACTCTTTCCTATATTCACTTTTAATTTCATTTTACCTTCCCCACCAGATTCATCCCTAACCTTTGAGCTTCTCTTTAGAAACTCCCAAAAGCACGTGTATCAGCAAAAAGAACTGTGAAAAACTCCCCCTTTGTGTTAGATTTTTTATCTTTTTAAGCACATCCTTAAAATTATTTACAATGAAATAAAAAGGGGCTTTTTTAAAAACCCTTTTCCTAATTTTATTACACACACGTAAACAAAGCTATATTACTTACGGATATTGAAAAATGAAAGATAACTTTATGCAACTTTTTTAAAATTATCTATAGAAGACAAATTATACTGCATCGTGTTGTCCTGGGCCCAGTTTATCTCTCATCTGCATCCTGTCTGGATTCAATTTTAAATTTGCTTAATTAATAACACGTGTGTGAGATGTGAGATGTTTACTTACTGTGCAAATTCGATCTTTTTCCATTTCTCTAATGGTTCATATTGTTAGTGTATAATAGCTGAAAAAAAAATTAATATATTTTTCGATCGATAGAGCATGCTTAACTTGTAATGCACCGATGAAATGCAGCTTCAACACTTGATCAACTCACTTGTGGCAGTGGTTTGCCTGGACGACAATGGAGGGCGCCCACCTCCACTTGAGAGGGAAGGAGTGGGTAAGACATTGAGAAAGTGAAGTGGGAGTTCATCAGCGTCAGACTCTGATTCCTGCTTATGTCTATCAACAGTGGAAACTCCGGGAATTTTTCCGAGATCTGCAAAAATTAAGGAAGACCAGACGATATAATTACCTTATTTAACACAAATGAATGTACCCTAGAAACAGTTATCTTACTTTTACTCAATATAATCTATAGTAAAGTATCAGGCATACTATGGCAACCAGGATCTGCAGCAGCAGACTTATACCCAGGTACCTATTTACTGATAGGTAAAAATAAGCAGCAAAGAATGATAAGGCTCAATTCTCTCAATTAAGAATATATGTTGTCACCACCTGCTCGTTTAGAAGTAGTAGTAATAATATAGGTGACAGGAGGTAAAGTTCCAGCACTCAAGAGAGAGACATAATTGGGCTAGAGCAGGAAAACCCAACAGGATCATATTGGATATTTAAAGCGTAAGGTATTAGTTTTGATAAGTACTGTTTCTTAGTGTAGCATTTTCTGGAAAATAGGCAGTAGGTACTCAATTAGGGCTTTAGTTCTCCTGGGGAAAGTGTAATATGTATAATGCAGTTTGTGCCTTCATAAGCCTGGTGTGAATGGCTCGAGAGTAAATGACAGTATTCAAAATAACCTACAATTTAATCAAACAAACGCACATTACAAGCAAAATGTAAATGGGTTCAAAGAAACATTTGCAAATCTATACTTAGAAACATTCAAAATACTCACTAGAACAAAACACAAATAATGACCACACACGACTGCTCACATAACCATTTGACACCAAGACCATCTCTCCACAGGCGGTTCCCAAGAATCACTGCCATAACAATTGTTAATGTATTTTAGCGCTCCTCTAGCGCTAAAATACATATTCCTTTCTTAGGCTAGAATCTTAGTCACCATATTTTTTACCAGTCTTTAGTCCATATACTTGTTCGAATTTTGGTAGTAGAGTGGTTCCCTCCAGGAATTATGTCCAGCGATTCGATCCCGAGACCCCTCAAGGAAGGTTCCTTGATGCTGGCGAGGGGTTCTTGATCTAGGGAACTGGATCTGTGCTCCAGTTCCCTGAATTAACAATGAATACCTTTCATCCCCCCACAGGCGCTGTATAATCCTACGGGTTTAGCGCTTCCCCCTTGATTATAATAATAATAATCGATCCCGAGACCTCAGTGACGGGAAGCAAGACTCGGCGGCCGCCGCCACTAGCCTCACCAATGGGCTACAGCTGCGAGTAGAGACTAACAGCTGCATATATACATGCTGCTTGATAAACATGAACAGCATGACTCACGAAATCGTAATGACACGATTGCAAACAAACCATACCACGGGCGGGGATAGAACCCGGTCTGGAGTTTTGAGACTCTCTGATCGCGGGTTCTACCCCGCCCGTGGTATGGTTTATGAGCAGCATGTATGATGGGAAGACTTACAGCCATGAATCTGTTAACTGCTAGGTGAACTGGAGGTGTAAGGAGCCTTACATCTAGGTAATTTCTTTACTAGGTGAAAAGTACCAGCAGGTGAAAGACAAACACCTAGAATAATATTTAATACTAAGTGAAAAAAGGCAGGCTAAGGGAGATTAATAGGCATGTGTAAGGAGACTCAGGGGAGGCAGTTGATTATAAATGAGTTTCCTTATTTATCATCCGATTTCTCTCATTTTTGGTGCACGTTAAGAAGCCTCTTTCCATCATACATTGCCCAAGTTTCAATTAGACAGCCCAGTAAACAAAGGAGAAAAAAATATTTACCAAAAATCATATATGGCAAGAGAGCCATGTACTGACCCTGCAAGTTGTTTGGGCACTGACCTGCTGATAAAAAATTACCAATCCGAATTCGTCACGAACCTAATTACTGTAATTTATGCTGTTTTCATTCTTTAAAAAAAATAAAGTTAGTATGGTTTTACATTTAGCAAAATATCTGCCTCTTTTCCCCACATAAAAAAAAATGTGATATTTCAAAAACAAATTCACAAGTTTGTAAAACAATCATTCTTTTATGTTGTTTGTGAAATTCGTTACATTCCTATCATTATTTAATTACCTGGAGAGAGTTCCGGGGGTCAACGCCCCCGCGGCCCGGTATGTGACCAGGCCTCCTGGTGGATCAGAGCCTGATCAACCAGGCTGTTGCTGCTGGCTGCACGCAAACCAACGTACGAGCCACAGCCCGGCTGGTCAAGAACCGACTTTAGGTGTTTGTCCAGTGCCAGCTTGAAGACTGCCAGGGGTCTGTTGGTAATCCCCCTCATGTATGCTGGGAGGCAGTTGAACAGTCTCGGGCCCCTGACACTTATTGTATGGTCTCTTAACGTGCTAGTGACACCCCTGCTTTTCATTGGGGGGATGTTGCATCGTCTGCCAAGTCTTTTGCTTCCGTAGTGAGTGATTTTCGTGTGCAAGTTCGGTACTAGTCCATCTAGGATTTTCCAGGTGTATATAATCATGTATCTCTCCCTCCTGCGTTCCAGGGAATACAGGTTTAGGAACCTCAAGCGTTCCCAGTAATTGAGGTGTTTTATCTCCGTTATGCGTGCCGTGAAAGTTCTCTGAACATTTTCTAGGTCGGCAATTTCACCTGCCTTGAAAGGTGCTGTTAGTGTGCAGCAATATTCCAGCCTAGTTAGAACAAATGACCTGAAGAGTGTCATCATGGGCTTGGCCTCCCTAGTTTTGAAGGTTCTCATTATCCATCCTGTCATTTTTCTAGCAGATGCGATTGATACAATGTTATGGTCCTTGAAGGTGAGATCCTCCGACATGATCACTCCCAGGTCTTTGACGTTGGTGTTTCGCTCTATTTTGTGGCCAGAATTTGTTTTGTACTCTGATGAAGATTTAATTTCCTCATGTTTACCATATCTGAGTAATTGAAATTTCTCATCGTTGAACTTCATATTGTTTTCTGCAGCCCACTGAAAGATTTGGTTGATGTCCGCCTGGAGCTTTGCAGTGTCTGCAATGGAAAACACTGTCATGCAGATTCGGGTGTCATCTGCAAAGGAAGACACGGTGCTGTGCCTGACATCCTCGTCTATGTTGGATATGAGGATGAGGAACAAGATGGGAGCGAGTACTGTGCCTTGTGGAACAGAGCTTTTCACCGTAGCTGCCTCGGACTTTACTCTGTTGACGACTACTCTCTGTGTTCTTTTAGTGAGGAAATTATAGATCCATCGACCGACTTTTCCTGTTATTCCTTTAGCACGCATTTTGTGCGCTATTACGCCATAGGTGGCCCGGTGGTCTGGTGGCTAAAGCTCCCGCTTCACACACGGAGGGCCCGGGTTCGATTCCCGGCGGGTGGAAATTCCGACACGTTTCCTTACACCTATTGTCCTGTTCACCTAGCAGCAAATAGGTACCGGGGGGTTTTGTCGATGGTGTGGGTCGCACCCGGGGGGGAAAAGTTTAAAGGCCCCCCAATGGAAATAAGTTAGAAGTCCTCGATGACGCACTGATTTTTTGGGTTTTACCCTGGGTGGCAAAACCCCGGGGAAAAAATCCGAAAAAAATTTATCTTTTTTATCTTATGCACACTTGTCGAAGGTTTTTTAAAAAGTTGTTTTATTACATCGCATTCTTTTGTCTTCTAGTATTTAGGCCCTTTGTCGTATGATCCAATTTTGAGCAGACAGGAGGGGACCTTTTTCAAACCCAGTTGCCCGGGGTTGTGTAAGGGGGTTTTTCTAGAGGGGTGGTGATCTGCTTTAGGCCCCTTCAAAATTTTTATGATAGGGGATGTTGTGCTAGTGGTCTGTGTTATTTGCTGTTGCTTTACTGCCCCCCCTTTTTGGATGGGGCTATGTCTGTTGTTTTTTTGAACTGGGGACGAGGCCCGTGTCCTGCCCCCTCTCCCAAAAGGGTGGAAAAAGGGTCGTGTAGGGGGTTTTTGCAGTTCTTTGAACACAAGTTCCTGGTCGGCCCGGGGCAGAGGCATGGCTGTCATTTATCGCCCGTTTGAAGTCATTTGGGTCAGGATAAAAAGATAGGCTTGGTTAATCAAATTTTTTGGGGTCTTTCCCAAAAATTCATTTTGACTTCGACTTCAGTTGGTTGCGGCTGCTAAAAACTGAGTATATTGGGGGTTGGTAGCTTACTCATTTCTTTCTGTCATCTGTGTAGGCCCATCTTGTTTAAGTGGGGCCCAAAAATGGCTTGTTCCGATTTTGATTTGGCAAAAGGAGACGAAATATTTTGGGGTTTTTTTTCATTTCATTTATGGCTTTTAGTTTTCCGCGATTTCCCGACTCCTAAAGGGTTCTTTTAGCTTAAGTTCGATGCTTGCTATTTCTCTGCCCCGTGTCTCCCACGCATTTCAGATATATTGACCTCTTTTAGCCGCTCTGTTATTCTTTTCCGTCGCCTGTAAAGGGAGCGCCTGTCTCTTTCTATTTTACATCTACTCCTCCTTTTTCTTAGAGGAATAAGCCTTGTGCATACATCGAGTGCCAACGAATTAATCTGTTCTAGGCATAAGTTGGGGTCTGTGTTGCTTAGTATATCTTCCCAGCTTATATCGGTTAGGACTTGGTTTACTTGGTCCCACTTTATGTTTTTGTTATTGAAGTTGAATTTGGTGAATGCTCCCTCGTGACTAATCTCATTATGTCGGTCTGGGGCTCCGCGCATACATGACTGAACCTCAATTATGTTGTGATCTGAGTATATTGTTTTTGATATGGTGACATTTCTTATCAGATCATCATTGTTAGTGAAGATGAGGTCTAGTGTATTCTCCAGTCTAGTAGGCTCTATTATTTGCTGGTTTAAATTGAATTTTGTGCAGAGATTTAAAAGCTCGCGTGAGTGTGAGTTTTCATCAGAGCTGCCTCCTGGTGTTATTACTGCAACAATATTATTTGCTATATTCCTCCATTTTAGGTGCCTTAAGTTGAAATCCCCCAGGAGCAAGATGTTGGGTGCAGGAGCTGGAAGATTTTCCAGACAGTGGTCAATTTTTAACAGCTGTTCCTGGAATTGCTGGGATGTTGCATCCGGAGGCTTGTAGACTACCACAATGACTAGGTTTTGGTTCTCGACCTTTACTGCTAAAACTTTCACTACATCATTTGAGGCATTTAGCAGTTCTGTGCAAACAAGTGACTCTACAATGTACAGGCCAACCCCCCTCCCCTTTTGCCTGTTCACTCTGTCACATCTGTATAGGTTGTAACCTGGGATCCATATTTCGTTATCCAAGTGATCCTTTATGTGGGTCTCAGTGAAAGCCGCGAACATTGCCTTTGCCTCTGCAAGCAGTCCACGGATGAAAGGTATTTTGTTGTTTGTTGCTGGCTTTAGACCCTGTATATTTGCCAAGAAGAATGTTATCGGACTGGTGGTATTGTTGGTACTGGGGGGGGATTTTTTTTCCGGCATTAGTATCTGTATCTGTTGGTTTGGAGTGGAGGCCATCGACTGTGGTTCCACTCCAGGAATGACTGGATTTGGTGTACGATTTCTGCCATTTCCTGCCAGTTTTTTTTTCCTTCCTGGCACTGAAAAACCTCTCCCTCTTGAGTGGCTGTGGCTACCCGGGTTTTTCCCCATGGCCTGGATGTTTTGTATCTTTTTGTACCCTTTAGATGGTGTGCCTGGCAATTTAAGTTATAGCACAGTTTTTCCCTTTGTATGAAGAGGTACACATTTCAGGGTGAAAAAGCTTACGGGAAAGGGAGTTTGCATTTTCCTGTTGTCATATGGGCATGGCATTTTCTAGGGTGGCATAGTTGAAACGTCCCGTCTGTTTTTCCAGATTTCCCATGTCTGCAGATACGAGTGCTAGTATGTGTACAGGTTGGTTTCGTTTGCCTTGGGTTTCTGGGACTGTATTCCTGTTGGTGCATGTTTCCCTGTCTTTTTTCCTATCCTCCCTTGCACCAACAATGGAGCTCCACCAGTTGTTTTTGGTTAATATATCCTCACTATTGCTAGTGGAGTCCTCTTTTTTGCTATTTCCTGCAGTATTTTAGTTTGCAATATTGGTTTTATCTTATCTTTGACTACACTTGTTTCCCTACTACGGCCTGTCCCCTATGAGGTATTTATTGTTTTCCCTTCCTGCGTATAATTCCCGACTACCTGGACAAAATCTCCAGCTTCCCCATTACTGTCCCCCAGGACAGCACCTCCAGCTTCACCATTATGTCTCCCAGGACAGCACCTCCAGCTTCACCATTACTGTCTCCCAGGGCAGCACCTCCAGCTTCACCATTACTGCTCCCAGGGACAGCATATCAGCCCACTTTATTGACTCCCAGGAATCACCTCCAGTCTTCAGTTTCTGACTACATGGCAGTATCAAGGGCCAGTACCATTCAGCCCAGACTTTTTATGTTCCCATCTGTTGAAAAAAAGCTTCCAGGTTGTCTATGAAAGCAGCTTTGATGTTGTCCTCTTTTAATACCTTGTGATTTTAGTCCACAGATTTATCTCATTTGGGCTTACCCAAAAACACTTCCCTGTTTTAATATGCTTGTAGCTAGTTCTTGGATATCTGCACAAGGGGCGTGACACCCAAATTTTCCCCAAAAAAAGACAATTTATCCATGTGGAAACCGTTTGTTTGATTGACTGTAGACTACACAGAGCTTCATAATGATTTGAATGGTTGATTTACTGTAATTCTACTAGCAACCTCTTGAATATTCTATTAATAACCTCCTTAAATGAAGCTCTAGCTATTTGTATTTCTATTTCTAACTGTACTTGTATATTGGACAGCTTACTGTGTACGTTCCTGATTTATATTTATTGTTTGTGTTTGATAAGGGTGCCTACAACCCCATCCGTTTACAGTCTGCTTTATTGTCCAACGGTGGCCCGGTGGCCTGGGTGGCCCGGTGGCCTGGGTGGCCCGGTGGCGTGGTGGCTAAAGCTCCCGCTTCACACACGGAGGGCCCGGGTTCGATTCCCGGCGGGTGGAAATTCCGACACGTTTCCTTACACCTATTGTCCTGTTCACCTAGCAGCAAATAGGTACCTGGGTGTTAGTCGACTGGTGTGGTCGCATCCTGGGGGACAAGATTAAGGACCCAATGGGGAAAAAAGTTAGACAGTCCTCGATGACGCACTGACTTTCTTGGGTTATCCTGGGTGGCTAACCCTCCGGGGTTAAAAATCCGAACGAAATTTATCTTATCTTATCTTGAAAACCCTTTGTAAAACCCGTCAAGGGTTCGGACCCTCAAGGGTTCGGACCCGTCGAGGGTTCGGACCAGTCGATTGATCTGATCAGTGGGTCTTATTTAAAACATTTTGGTCGGTGATTTGGGCTAACACATGAAGGATCTACTTGAATTATCTACCTGAGTAATATGTGATTTGATTGATACAAAAGTTAACTTGCGGTTGAAGAGCGGTGGGTTTCTGGCAGCTCCTACAGTGACGAAAAAGGTCAAGCCTCAACCCTTGTTTATCAATCGCTGTTATCTAGCTTTTCTAGTTTTTTCCCTCTCCACCACAATAAATGCTATATTATCAGTATTGTTGACTGGTGGAAACTTTGGAGGAAGGACGCTTTTTCTGTAGTAATAATTGCTTCTCGTTGTGTATATTGCGACCGCTGGTAACTACAGGTTACATGAAATTCACAGTATACGTCTGGTATTTCAAGAAAAAAGAAACTAATGAAAGTCACTCCACTCCACTAAGTACCATTATAATACTGGTTAGTTGCTACTACAACACTGTATTCTGCTATTCACTGGTATCACTAGATTATATGAGAGTACACTAGCAAGCCAGGAAGATTATTAAAACAGCTGACCTGTGGTAAGTTTCTGGTGACTTCTGGCACCTGCCTATATATATATAATATATATATATATATATATATATATATATATATATTATATATATATATATATATATATATATATATATATATATATATATTACTTTTATTGTCTTCTGTTTTAATTATTCCTCGTGGGTGTTTTTTTTTTTTTTGTTATATTACCTCTTTTTGAAGTGCTGGTAAGTACGTCCAGTAGTAATAGATAAATGGATAGTGGATGTGAGCCAGTAAGTTGAGAAGACGATCGTAAACATTCCACTGGGTAAAAATGCTGCCCATTAAGGTAGGTGTGAAGGCTGGGTTGAGAACGTTGCCCATTATGGCACTCTGCGTGGGGTCCATGCCCGGGGTAGCTACAGTGATGAAGGGCATCTCGTACACAAACGGATATGCCAGCTGTTGATACATAAAAATAATGATCTCGATGCCTCAGACTTGTTTTTGTAAACACTTACACAAGTGTCTCATGTCGTACAAGAATTGCAAAAACTATTAAATAAAGGTACCCAGTATTTTACATGCAAATTTTATATTTTGTACTAAAATTAGCATAGCAATTTAGCCTGACCATGAAAACTGGATAAAAGAAAAATGCTATTATAAAATATACAATAAATATATATTTTATCATCCATGGAAGACAAATTTAGTTAATCTAACACTTCATGAAGCACATTCCAAGAAGTTTACTAATCTCTTTCTTAAATCAACTACAGTTTTAACTAGATATGAAAGACTATCACATGAAATATCAAGGTATATTAAGAGCTACAGGAGCATATAAAAAGTTTTACCAAGTGTCCTAAATTTGCTAATAACTAACAAAAAGATAATTGTAAAAATATATACAAATATACTCCTGTTAACACTATAAATACTGTAAATACTGAGATGCTATGTACCGGTGCAGCTCTTAACTCTTGCGCTTCACTCTACACGATTAATATTAATATTAATATTAATATTAACATTAGAAGCATACTAAAGCAGTAGCTACGCCAGCAAAATCAATATTTCCTCTAAAAAAAATTGAAATTTTCAAAGATTTTTTCTAGAACGAGGTATTGTGAGGTCACATGAACAGAAAGTTCTTTTAAAGAAAAGATTCTGTCATTTTCTTCATATAAATTTTATGAAAACCCAAAGGTATTCTTTCTTCCCTCACAATGTAGTGTTCAAGCAAACTTTAATTATTGTAATCAGCATATAATGAAATATAGGTTTTATAAACGTATGTCAATATAAAATATATATAAACAAATACATGTATATAGAGAGCGAGAGGGAGCCCCGATCACTAGCAGCCAACAATACCCACAACCCAGCAAACCGCCCTGACGGGATCACCATCTATCCTTGGAAGAATGTCAAGCTCTTAGCATGGGACTATACCTGTGTGTCCACACTGGCTGACACCTATATCCATCACAGTGTGGGGTGACAGGGAGGAGCTGCTGACCACAGGGAGGAGTACAAGATCAGCAAGTACAGGAACATAAGCCAACAGTATCAATTTGTCCCAGTGGGATCAGAGACCTTGGGATTGTGGGAAAAAAAATGCCACACTTTTCCTTAAAGAATTGGGTTCCAGACTCATCGACACCACCAGGGACCCAAGGGCAGCCACTTTCATGTTCCGGCACCTCAGTGTGGAAATCCAGAGGGGAAATGCATGCTGCATACTTGGCTCGCGTCCAGCTTCGGAGGAACTGAAGGAAATTCATAATCTTTGATGCACTGTACCAATGTATTCATGTTTGTGTTTTCTGTCTATTAATAAAATTTCCCATAGAATAAAAAATATAGGGGGTGGTAGGAGAAGAAAATATTCAAACAGCTCCGGGGTGAACCTTGAGTTTCCCTGAGGTACGTTTATTGTCTTCTCTGAGGATGAGGGTCCCCAGTCCAGTTATAGAGGTAGTACCTACATAGATATATATATGGTTTAGAAAGACACGTAAGCAAACACTATGACATATTTATTAGAAGTGATCAAGGTCCCAGGACCGAAACGTTTTCTAATAAATATCTCATAGTGTTTGCTTACGTGTCTTTCTAAACCAACTTGTCGGTATTTATTACCAAGGTTTATACCATATATATATATATATATATATATATATATATATATATATATATATATATATATATATATATATATATATAATATATATATATAATATATATATATATATATATTATATATATATATATATATATATATATATATATACATATACATACTATACATGTGCATCTACCTTGGCTGATACCTATCTCCAATACACCAGGGAGGAAGGAGGGGCAGCTACCAGCTTCAGGGAGTCCCAAAAGTCTAGAAAATATGGAGAACTTGCCCATCATTATATGTTTGTTCCCATAGGCTCAGAGACCCTTGGCTCATGGGGAAAGAATGCATCTAAATTCCTTAAGGAGCTGGGAAAAAGACTCATCAGGGTAACTAGGGATCCCAGGGCAGCTAGTTTTCTGTTCCAGCGGCTCAGTGCGGCTGTTCAAAGGGGTAATGCCTGCTGTATTTTGGGCACACACCCCAGCTCTGAGGAGCTGGATGAGATTTTCACCTTATAATTGGTGATACACACATAACAACATGTACCGTATATGCCACCTTTATGTCAACATTGTATCTCTTAGATCTTCTGTACCATATTATGTAATAAAATATTCCTACTGGTAAAAAAAAATATGAAAAGATGGGGTGTTAGGGGAAGTGGAATATTCAAACGGCTTCAGGAAGAAATCCAAATATTCTTCCTTGAAGCCTTTTAATTCACTTCTCCTTGCTTGTACGTAAGCACATCGTCCTTGTCTGTGCGCAAACATTACCTAAATCTTCCAGTCTATCAAAAATACATAAGAATTTAAAGCAATGAATAATCATGATAACAGTGTGCATTTCTCTTTCAAACAATTCGTGAATATTACTGTGAAAGTGAATAATTTGGACATGTTATAGATACATATAACACAAAAAAATGAAATAATCTTCTTCTAAGCTCTATTCAGTTTTATAAGCTAGATTTTACAGCTTCTTTCCAGTTTTAAATTATTCTTATCATTCTAATTAAAAAAAACACAATATCTTTCTTCGTTTCTCCTAATTAATTAAAAGCATTAAGTAGCATCACAACCAAAGTATCAAGTGTTACCTCGTTACAAATGTGATCCACCAGGAAGATGTCAAATGTTTTCCTCCTTTCGTAAAGATCCAGTACTACGGGAGACTGGTACATCACATCCACCAGTGGCACTATTGAGCGCATAATCAGGTCGAATATATCTGAGAAAACAGTATGTATTTTAGCAATATTTCCCCAATAACTAAGTACTTCAATAAATTATACTTCAGTATAAACTTTATAAATTACACAAAATGGAAGTACATTCTTCCTTAACTCCACTGTTCAATGGAAGCTGCCGAGAGTCTAGTGATTTACGATATTGGAGCAATTTTTCCCCTTTCTCTGATAAAAATTGCTTACCTTCTAATTCCATACATGGAATGACAGACATGGGATTGTCGCTTTTCCCTTTCCCATAGTGCCAAGTAATCAGTCCTTCAAGTTCATCCACTACTTTTACGATCATTATGCATTATACAATTCTGGGACAGAGTGTGTTCCACAATGCCTATAATTAAAATAGGATGACATGCTCTGCACTGTCTACCACCGTGTGGCAAGGTATTAACTTACTATTAAAGAGATTTATATTTTTTCATAGCTCAAGGTGTATGTAGTCCTGGTGTGGGGGCACTGGCCAGTGTAGGGAGCTGTTAGGGCTTTAAACTGGAAATAGTTAGTGGTATGAGATTTTGTGGTAAAGCAATGCAATATGATACAATAGAACTGGGCTGGATGAATTCTAAGTGTAGTGATATTATGAGTTTTAGGGAAACCAGTTACAGGCAGAATGAGGTCGTGTTATTGGCGAATGTTGTAAAGTCAGTGTCACTAGGTGATAAGGACAGTAATAGATATAGTGGAGGAATAGGAATGAGCAGGGAATGGATAAAAGAAGAGAGGGTTTCTAAATACATTTTATACAAATAGTTGTAGCACTAGAAACAAGATGAATGAGTTGAGATTAGTTGGAGGTGCGAATATTTGCCAAAACTGAGACATGATTTGAAATGAAGAATCGGGACAAGCATGCCGAATGTCACTTTCTGGATTTTATGTAATTCTACATTCAAAGAAGTAACAGGAAGGGTGGTGGGGTGGCACTATATGCCAGAGAACATTTAAATTGCTACATCAAAGTGAGTATAAACCGTGAAAGAACACACACACAGTCTGGGTAGAATTTTTGAAAGGGAATGAAAAATTTATTTTAGGTGTGATTTGCCATCCCCCAGCTTGGATGGGGGATCAAGGAAGACTGCTTTGGGAAGAAACTGTTAAGGCCATAATGCACGATAACGTAGTAGCTCTAGGAAACTTTAACTTTAATAAAATTTATTGGAATTCCTTAACTAGGAATCTTGAGTTAAACGACTTCCTGGAGGTAGCTCAAGATTGTTTTATGGAGAAGTTTGTGACAGAACCAATTAGGGAAAAATAACCTGCTTGATTTGGTTCTGGTTAACAAGGATACCCTTATTAATAAACTAAAGATTACAGAGGAAGTTGGCGTAAGCGAGCACAAATCAATTACCATTAGTATCGATTGGAAGTATAGTAGTAGGGATAATTCAGTAACAGTCCCAGATTTTCGTTCAGCAGATTACAATGGGCTTAGAGAACTCCCATCATCTGTTGACTGGGGTAACGAAGAAAACTATCAATATGACAGTTTTCTAAACACTATACACGCTGCCCAAAGAACATTTATTCCGTTTATAGAAATGAGATCGAATGGAAAATATCCGAGATGGATGAAAAATAGGGACAAACATCTTTTAGGGGAAAGGAAAGGAATTTATTAACATATCAAAAAATGGTTAGAGCCATCTCATGGATCAATATACTCACATTCAAGGAGACGGGACTGTGAAATTAAAATGGCAAATGATTCTAAAATAAACCCAAAAGGCTTTATCCAGACATAGAAGTTATTACCTTTTAAAAATAACTCTGGGCATCTTACTGACGAGGAGAATGAAATGTGCTCTATTATTAATCATTATTTTCTCTCAGTTTCCACACAAGAAGACGCTAATGATATACCAGTAATTAATTTTTATAATGGACCCTGCAACCACATTTGTACTAAAAGTCAAAAGCCTCATAAGAGAAAGGTAACACATCACCAGTTATTAAAGTTTAAATTTAATAACATTTCTTGCACTCCTTACACAGTTGTGGAAAATTTTTACATAATTTTCCTAAAGGTAGAACACATAAATGAATATAATAATTGTGTAATAAAATGTGATGATTTGACTCTTTCGAAAGATTTCGAGTGAGAGGGGAGAGGTAGAACAGCTGGGGGAGTGACACCGCAGAGGAAGATGCCATTTGCAATTTGTGAACACTGGTTGTCGTGGGAAATTCTGCTGATAATCCGGCATCTTCCAAGTCAAATTGGAGGGTTTTGGCTTGAATTCGTAATTAGCAACCCATGGTAATGTCCCCTGCTGAAGAATTGGGACAGGAAAATTCCGAGACCTCAAGAATTACATGTGAATGGCAGAAGATAAGGGATATGACCGTCATTCAGAGGGAAGTGCACCGTTAGTCCTTGCATTTAGATCTCTAGCTGGCCAGTGCAGGGTCTAGGTGTCAGGCAGGTTATGGTGTGATTCATCTACAGCAATTAAATGGTAAATGGCAATACGAATTTCCTTTCTAATAACACTATTGTAATTTATGTCCAATAATTACATTTTGTGTACCCAGCAAGCCTAGTCATTTACAATCTACATTATTTTATAATTTACCATTATTGGTATTAATGTTAAATATTGCAATAATTAACTTAATGTCAGGTCTAGCTTTTTGTGTGAGTGGTGACTTAAGTCTCACTTATCTCACCCAAATTACTTGCCTGTAATAATTCAGATAATAACCTGTAAACCTCATGCAGGTAATTTGCTCATATAATAATAATAATAATAATTCACAACGGTTATACTTATTTATTAATACTACTGCGCTTGTTGTAAAGTGTTATATAATGTTCATTAATTCTGTTTACAAAGTTCCACTGTAACTCGTGACTAGCTTTAATACTCTACTTGTTTATACTTCATATACTGTTTGTACACTACGTTACATTCTGATGCTTTATATTGTTTTAACAAGAACATTATATATTTTTGTTTGTATTTCTCTAAAAAATCAGTGGTATTCATTGCGCGGCTCGCGAGCCGCCAATAACAAGATATGCAGGCTAATATTACCATGTCTAATTTTTCTCCTTTACTATATTTCACTAGCAGCTCAGTACTACTTAATTTAGTTGAGTTACGCTAACTTGCAGTAGCTGCGGCTCTCTCAATGTGTTTAACCGAAGTGGCTCTCTTGCAAAAATTAGTGAATAATATATAATATTATATCCAGTTTATACATCTCTCATAATATTATTCCTAATGCTAGACACAGATATACCAAAGTTATATTCTACATTCTATTTCTGGGTACTCTTCCTGTGACATGCAGCTCACATAATACAAGAAAGTTACTCTCAGCTGTCTTGACTCCATGCTGACTCATGGTAATGACTACTAAATGCAGCAGATGGTGTGTCTACGTAAGAGTACGGGTAAGAACTCAAGACCTCCTTCCTTGAATTCCAGTTTCCATCAAAGTTTGTACTAGGATCTACCGTGCTGGGCAGATAAGAAGTAATCAGGTTTGGTTTTCGGAAAAGGACACAAATTGATCATCTTTTAATTTACTGATTTTGAGCGGAGATCCATGGCCTGAATGACTGGGAAGTAGCAGAGAATGTAACTAAAGTGGGCAACAGCAGGATCATTATGATGATAAAGTGTATCAGTTGCCAAGTAGGCTGCCGTGGACTTCACTAGTGTCTGGCAGTCACACAATGATGCTGTGTAATTTAGTCCGTCTCGCATAAGAGCTAATTTTACCCTCGACTACAACCTACTCGGCGCCTGCTATTCCTCAGCTCAGAACAAAACCTAATCTTGAAAATGCAGTGAAATCTGCTCGTTCATCAAGCTTTTGACCTTAACTCTGAATGGCAGTTCATAAACAAATGCGATCTTATGCGCCCTACAATGGTTGGCAAATCTAGCAGTGTGATAGTGTTTACATAGATGCTCTCAAGACCCTTGATAATAGAAAACCTTCAACTCTCTCATGGTAGATGCTGAACTTAATAGAAAAATCTTCGCTTCTCTGTATACCAACTGATGTTTGTGGTCAGAGTTTCCCGGTAACTTCTCACTTCCTTTGCTTGCTTGGAAGTTTGTGCTATAGGCAACACCGTTGTCATGAAATTAACTGAATCAACTCCCCTGACTGGCTTGCGGCTAAAGTTGATAGCAGAGGCTGGATTTCCATCAGGTGTAGTAAATGAAATTCCTGGAAATGGTTTAAGCACTGGAACAGCCATTACTTCACACATAAATGTATGTTGATAAGTTTTCATTCACTAGGTCAACAGAGATTGGACTCATGATTCAGCAAGATACAGGAGCGAAAAACTTTGAAGTATCACACAGGAATTTACAGAAAAGAGTCCGAACATTATTTAAAAACATACCAATTTGCATTATTATCTTGAACAGTCTAATTTTAGACATTTTTTAATCAGGGTCAATGACACTGTTCTGGAACAAGGATTTTCTTGAGGCTGCTATGAATGAAGACTCTGTGCTGAGCTTGACAAGATTTGATGTGTTGGTGATCCATATGAACTGAAGACCTAACGAGGACCAGAAGTAGACGGGAAGCAAGTGAGCAAAAGTATACAGAATATCGAAGCAATCTAAAGAGTGATATTGGGCACTGGTGGTAATTATGTGAGCGATAAGTGAAACTTTATTGAACCAACAGATTTTGCTGATGTGCAAGACAATATATGAATTGTTAAAGAGGAAATTTAAGGAAATGTCCAGCAGATCTAGATATTTAGTTAAGTTAATGATGTGGTGCAAACTCGAAAGAATATGGTCAAGCATCAGCATTATTTACAAAGGATATGGGCAGAACCAACCTGTTTGCTCAGGGTATATGTGCCTTACAACGTCTGGATTATTTTATATAATATACCGAATGATTAGACTTCTTTTAGAGACTACAAAATATCTGGAGAAGAAAGCGCATGTCTCACATAACTATTTTACAGTCAAAACCATCATGACTAAAA